ATATATTTGTTTGTTCCGGCCACACAGGTGCCGTGATAGATAGATATATCTATAGATATATATATATATCTATCACGGCACCTGTGTGGCCGGAACAAACAAATCTGTTACCAATCAGCTGCAAGCTGCTGCCAAGTTAATCAATCTGAACCATTGATGTGATAGATCAGAAGGCAAACTCCGGCCCTCCAGCTGTGGTGGAACTACAAGTCCCATGAGGGATTGCAAGACTCTGACAGCCCGCAGGCTTGACGGGGTTTGTAGTTTCACCACAGCTAGAGTTGGCCTACACCTGTGATAAGAGCATCTCTGCACATTGTTGATGCAATGCAGCGTCAGTCACTCTGGCTGGCACCCCAACGCACTTTACTGATGGGCTGTAATACAACACGTGGCAAACGTAGGACAACACACCGAATTGCACTGCAGTTCAGCTTCCTGTGGAATCAGCTGGTCCCCTGAGCACTGGCCCCGATTTCCTGTTAGAGGGCAGGGTTGCCACCTGTACTGGATTCACCCGTGCAGTCCGGGTTTTGAGTCCTGTTTCCCGGTTGCAGGCCAGCTGAAATCCAGACACAGCACATACAGGACTCAAAACCCGGACTGTCCAGGTGAATCCGGGAGAGGTGGCAACCCTATTAGAAGGCCCAGTCACACCGTAGCCAGTGCGTTCCGAGCCTGGAATACACTGGATCGCAGTGTTCTGGGGTGGGAGGGGGAGTCAGTCCCATACATGTCAATGGCGCCACAGACACACCCCCCACCAGCAGTGCATGCAGCATTTTTTTTAGATTGCACTGCACTAGAGCAGAGGGCATTCCTGTACCACGTGTTCCCATGCGGGGGATCGCACTGCGGGTGGGGCGGGCGTGTCTTGACATGAATGGCACGACACGCCCCCCTCCCGGCCCAGAACACTGTCAGGCTCGATCTTTGCGATCCAGTGCGTTCCGGGCACGAACCGCACTGGATATGGTGTGACTGGGGCCCTTAGGGTGGCTCATTTCTCTTGCAGTGTCCTATGGAGCCACCCTTGTGTGCGATAGTAAGCTGTGTGTCTCTCCACAAATACAGTAAGACACTCCCCTGATCCCCTCTCCAAGCTAGTAGAAGGGGACATATGGTGCATGTACCATATTTTGACAAGAGTCAATGTGTGTTGTAATGGGATTTGTTCTGAATGGCGCCCTATCAACGCACCTACTCTGCATTACGGCAACGTGGTGTAAACAGGCAGCTCTAGGCAATTTTTTTTTGATAGAGTGGGGGAAGGGTTAGTGCCTCTGTTGTGTTTTGTAGTGCCATGTGTGTCCCCCATCAGGGAGATTCACACAGATTTGTACCGGTGTTCATTGTTCCCAGAATAACTGATTAGGGGAACTATTCTGATGGTGACACATGTTCCATGGACAACTGTCTACAGGGGAATTACCCTCACTTTAGGAGATTTGCAACAACTTCCTGTTACACCTCTAGGACAGGAAGTGAAATCTCCCCAACGATACATTGCATGGGTTCTAGCCTTTACATTTTCTACCACACACACACACACGCACACAATAACTATAATTCCATCACGATGGAGAGATATGAATTCCCAACCAGCCACAGGGACATGTCAGTGAACCCAAAGACTGTCCCGGAAGTCAGGCAGAGCTGACATGTGCACAGCCTGAGCTGTATGACAACCCATAATCCTGAGCTCATGCTGCGGCTTAATCCCCGCACCCAACCCGAGGCACGGCCACACTGCGGCACGCTGGCACCTGCAGTTCCACAGTAACCCGATCCCCGCAGCCCCTCCCCATACAGGTCGGTACCTGCGTCCTCGCTCTTCCCCGGGCTATGAAGAACACGGGCGGCCAGGGACTCCTAAGGCCTCCGGTGGTTTATAGTCTCGGGCTACTAAGCTGCCGGCCCGAAGGCCTGAGCGGTAACTAGGCAACGGGAGTGTGGAGGGGCGGGATAGAGGCCGTCGCCAAGCAACCAGGCCGCGGAGGGGCGGGGAAAATAGCACCTGTTTCTTGGCGCGGAGAACGCCGGGAATTCACGGCGAACACCTGCTTGCTGGTCCAGCCCACTAATCTTGGTGCGTCTATCCTGTACCTGAGCGGTGGAGGGGGGCGGGGCTGAGTGTCAGCGATGGCTGTCATGTGTATCGGCTTAATCAGAGGTCTGCGGAGTGCGGACATGTGCGCGCCTTTAACTGGAACTTCTGGCACTATCCCCCCCAGTAGGGGCACGATTCCTCTCAGTAACACCAGTGATAGGGGCACTATTCCCCCAACTGACACCAGTGATGGGGCACTATTCCTTCCAGTAACACCAGTGATGGGGCACTATTCCTTCCAGTAACACCAGTGATGGGGCACTATTCTTCCCAGTAACACCAGTGATAGGGGCACTATTCCTCCCACTGACACCAATGATGGGGCACTATTCCTTTCTCTGGTACCTATGATGAGGGGAACTATTTCTCCCACGGACACTAATAATGGGGCACTATTCTTCCCACTGACACCAATGATGGGGCACTATTCCTCCCACTGACACCAATGGGGCACTATTCCTTTCACTGACACCAATGATGGGGCACTACACCTCCCACTGACACCACTAATGGGGCACTGTTCCTCCCACTGACACCAATGATGGGGCACTATTCCTTTCACTGACACCAATGATGGGGCACTACACCTCCCACTGACGCCAATGATGGGGCACTATTCCTCCCACTGACACCAATGATGGGGCACTATTCCTCCCACTGACACCAATGATGGGGCACTATTCCTTTCATTGACACCAATGATGGGGCACTATACCTTCCACTGACACCAATGATGGGGCACTATACCTCCCACTGACACCAATGATGGGGCACTATTCCTCCCACTGACACCAATGATGGGGCACTATTCCTTTCATTGACACCAATGATGGGGCACTATACCTTCCACTGACACCAATGATAGGGCATTATTCCTTCCATGGACACCAGTCATGGGGTATTTGACACTTTTAATTGACATCAATTAAGGTCTGCAGAGCACCTTTCTGTGATGTCCTCATCTGCCTCCGGCATGCACACTGTGCTTCATCATCAATTGCATTGTGATTGATATTATTGGGAAACTTTGATTGTAATACTGGGCCTTGTATTGCACATGCGTGAGATTCGTTGGGACATGTGCCCTGGCTTTTCTGAGATCAACGTGAATGAGAAAATTGATTGTAGTACTAGGCCTTGTATTGCACATGTGCGGGATTCTGTGTGTAGCCGGCAGTAGGCAGACAAGACTACCCAGAAAAGGACAGGGACTTCTCAAAGATGGTGCTGGCTTTAGGAACAGGGGGCTGTATGGGGCCTGCAACATTTTACTGCAAATTCTAAATATATTGTGGAAACTATGACCATAGGTAATCATTTATAATAATATACACTGTGTAAACATTGATACTGAAAACATGTGCACGGGTTTACTTCCACTTTAATTTCTTAGCTACAACACAAAACAGTAACGTGCAAGCTAACTGGCTGGGATGAACAAACCCTTCACTACAACTTTCTGAAAGCACTGTTCAATTGCTGAGAACATCATTCTGACGTTATAGATTTTTATTAAAGCTAAATGAAGCCACCCATCCATTAAAACAAACCAATAGCTAAAGTTAACCCCTTCTACTGTCACTACCTTGCCCCCTTATGGAATATACGGTAAATAAAAATCCTTTAAATATGTACCTACAGAATACGACATTTTGCTTCAGGCACCCCAGCAGCTGGTCAGGTGCCCATATGCCTAGGCCGGGGGTAGGCAAGCTCAGCGCTCCAGCTGTGCAGCAATCCACAAAGCTCATCATGACTCTGCATTCAGGGTTCTTGCCAGTGGCTGTCAGAGTCTCGCAATGCCTCATGGGACTTGTAGTTCCATCACAGCCAGAGTGCTAAGGTTGCCTACCCCTGGCCTAGGCATATGGGCACATGACTAGCTGCTGGGGTACCTGAAACAACATTTTGTATTCTGTGGGTACATATTTAAAGGATTTGGTCACATTATGTCAGTTGAATGGAGGGATCACAGTTACTTGAACCTATTGATTGGGCATATCTGCCTGAAAGTTGTTCCACTAAGCCCCCTTCAGAATAGATCATGTGACTAAACACCTAGGCATTTTATCATGTTGCTGGACGTCAGGGCAGCCTGGGACAGATTTTTGGAGGACCCAACAGTACAAGGCGCTTTTTATTCCATTTTTAACTGTATATAAAAAGTCAAGGTAATCCGGAAGAGGGAGATTGATTCAGTTACAGCATCATTTATTAACTATAACCCCTTAAGGATAGTGCACACCATATGCAGTGCGTCCCGGTCCGATCCTGGCCAGAACGCACCGCATTGCGGCCGGCTCACTTTTTTTTGTGGGGCAGGAGGGGGTGTGAATAGCACCATAGCCACTCCCTCCGCCCGCAATGCGATCGCACGCACGGGATCGCAAGGCACATTGTGCCTGCGGTTCGGTTTGGTGCGATCAAAATAGTGCTTGCAGCATTGTCATCGCACCGGACCGCAGGCACAATGTGCCCTGCAATCCCGTGCGGGCGATCGCATTGCGGCCGGAGGGCGTGGCTACGGTGCCATTCACTTCAATGGCCCGCCACGCCCCCTCCTGCCCCACAAAAAAGTGAGCCGGCCGCAATGCGATGCAGTGTGTTCCGGACAGAATAGGACCGGAACGCACTGCATATGGTGCGAACTAACCCTTAAAAGAACACACAAAAGGCCCCGGCTACAGATCATTTACGTGTTCTAAACATAAAGATTATGTGAATGATCGCTGTATGAGGTGTCCCAATACGCGCGTCAAATATTTATATTTCCTGATTTTTCTTTCCCGTCCAGCCACCACGTTGTCATGGTTCCTTTTCCCTGAAAAAGATTGAAGAAAAGACAGGCATTAAAAATCTGGCAATGTGTAAATAAACGTCTATGAGATGATGTATTTCTGATCGGACACAAATGTACGGCCAATCACAATGCTTAGAAAAGCCACTTTGCAGCCTGTGAGTGTTATGTTAAAGCAAATGTAAAGTCCCAGCATATCCTCTCCTGTTATGACATCAGCATTGTACTAGGAATACATGCTAGAGTTGTTTTTGATAACGCAATCAAAGCTTACTGGGAAAAAAACCCTTTTATGTAGTGAGTGCTGTCTTCTGTCTGCTCATCACTGCCAACAACTTCCTGGATTCCCTGTGCGCTTTGCATCTCTTTCCCTGCTGCTCGATGTGATGCAATCTCCATTTCTCAAAATGACATATCCCATCATGCATTGCTTCCAGCAAGCAATGATAATGTTTTATTGTTACGACATTGAGTTATACTTCAGAAGGTGGGCTTTGTGAGAGTGGTGGCATTAGGAAATGCATATTGCTGAGTGAATTGTGACACTTTATTGAGGAAGTACATCCTCATCCTCCTACATCCTTCTAGATGGATCTAACTATTAGGAATGGGATAGAACTTATGGGAATTCAAATTTAGATTTAGTTTTTGACCATAGATACCCTTTAAATGCACAGTCACCATGTGGGACACCTTTGTATCTATTTGTTACATCTTAGCAGCCATGGGAATTGCTCACATAGTTCCAGGAGAGGGACTATAGGTAACAATTGTCACGTTGTGGCAGGAGGGCACAGCTGTTACACACTACATCTCTGTGTTACATCCTGCTACAAATGGCTGCGAGCAAAACCCAAACAGTCATTTGCATATGACATTCAGCATTGTCAGCTGTCCATAAAAATAGGCAACTAAGCTTGTCTGTATCATACATTTAGGGCCCAATCATGACATCATACTATAGCCCTGCGATGCATTAATGTAAATGAGTTAACGCATGTTGTGTCCTTTTTTAGTGTGCATTGGGTTAAGACCACTCATTCATTTGAAATGGGATGCCAACACACTACAAAGCAGTGAAAAATGGACACAACCCAATTTTGTCAACGCAACACATCACAGAACATTCAAAATGAAGGCTAATGTGTGTAATGCTGAATGTGCAGTAATGCATTGCAATGCATCAGACCAGTCTGAATAGGCTTGCAAAGCTTTTTGTGCGTTTTTTGCACACATATTAAATTCCACATTTTAGGCCTAAAATAATAAAATAGTGGCAGTTGCATATTTTAATGTAGTACAATATTACGCAACTCTTTATCAAACCCCAAAATTTTGTACAAAATGCACTTTTTATTTTATTAACAAAGGCAGTTTAGGGCAAAGGATCACGGGATAGCAGGCAGACTTTGTTCCTCGTACTTACTTTTTATTTGCCCCTCTGTTGCCTGGTTTGAAAGTCACAGTCCCCCAAATTAATGTTTAGGTTCCAAGTGTTCTCTGGATCTGACCTCCAATACTAAGGACAATACCCTCGGCCCCGAGTGACAGTACAACCCTCATCTTCAGCTCCAGGTCGGACCTCTGTAATGCCCTAAGCACCCCACATTGCAGCACAAGTGCCCATCATCCACTACCGAAACACTTGCAATGCAGAGCTGCCCTAGATAAATGAATCTTACATTTTGATTATTTTATTTCTGTGATGTTTTGTACCTGAAATAAAATGGGTGAGGTTGGGGTTATTGGGAACAAATATGTAAAGAATGGAGCCCACTTATGGCCAAGCAGTGGCTTAAACAAACCCTATCACCAGACCTACAACAATCTTGTATGTGCATTTAAGTTCTATAAGACACGTTATTTACCTGTAGAAGCCTCCCTTGTGTAGACTTTTAAAAGCCCTGAGACTTGTCCTGGGTGCCGCCATCTTGGATGTAATGTTGGCAGCCCCAGCAAACTTGGAGCTTTCATTCAAGTGGTTCCTAAGCTACTCATTGAAGAGGAGAGGGCTGTGACATACAAGGAGGAAGGGAGCTGTGGTAGAGAGTTGACTCTTCAGAAGTTCAGAAGCACATTGCAAGCCAATAAAACACTGTTTATGGAAAGGAAAATGCAGCAAGTAAGGGCTTGTTCACACCAAATGCAGACCAGATCTACATGAGTTTCTGCACACATAATGCAGTGGGGTTTTGCCGCGTTTTTGGATGCGTTCTGGGCCTTTTTGATGCGTTTGCATGCGTTCCAGAGCAGGTAAAATAGGGCTTACTGCAGTTTTTTTTACATGCTCTGGAACTGAACTCTGCTTTGTGAACTAGAGCCCAAAATACCATTGGAATACATTGGCCACAGTTTTGTAACTGCTCTGCTCTGCTCCTGGAACGCGCTTGGTGTGAACAAGGCCTTAGAATTTAACATACTTAATTTTTCTGTGCTTTTTTAAGTTGATGATAGCGTTACCAGATTAAATTCAAACATGGCTCTATGGTCCCATGGCTTTGAAAACATATTAAATGGTTATTGGTTAGGTCACGTTAGGTTTTTTACCTGCTTTTCTATGGAGTCAAATTATTCAACCAATGAAATAGAAAACACAGCAGTTTGTTTATTTCCAATGAATCGATAAACAGGAATTAATTGCAAACATCTTTCTCTATGTAGTTGTTACCTAATTTTCCATTTAAAGATGACCAGACTATATATACATTATCATTCTCAATATCTGAGTGCAAGGCTTCACCTGCTACTTCTGCTCTGTCCACCATAAGAAATGTGTCTATATCTGGTGTCTGACTCATGTATTAACATGATACAAGACTGATTCGTCACTTCTAAAATCCCCACCATGTATCTGAAGGAGCTGGGCGTGCAGAATCTGGGGGTGTAGAATTGCTGATCTTGCAGTACAACTATGCCTGTGCTTCATGTATGCTTCAAATTGGTGACAACTAACTGTAAAGACTCCCAAGGTTGTCTCACCAGGAGAACGTCTTGGTCTACAATCCAACCAGAAATCATTTGCGGGTCTGTTTTGTAGAAACTCTAGGAGTTGTCTGTTGCCCGTAGTACCTACCCATTGCTTCCATTACTTCAAATAAGTAAACTAAATGTGAGATTGTAGTCCATCACTGGATCAAGCTTGGAGCGATGACTATGTTACAACACACACAGGGACCATGGAGAAGAAAAGAAGCCACCCTCCAGAAGAAAGGACAGTGTCAGCACCAATTAGAGATGATTTCAGGATCTACAGCCGAGTCATACACAAATAAGATACATTTCTGTTAATAAATAAGGTACTTGAATGTAACAGGATGTTAGAGAAAATCTCCCAAAGTGAAGCAAATTACCCTCTTACACAGCTGTCACCGGAAGAGGTGTCACCATTGGAAGATTTCCCCTGACCTTTTATTGTAGGGACAACCAATTTTTTAGATTTCCCCTCACTCATTGCCTTGGTGATAATAATCAGGACTCTTAAATACACTACCCAAAAAGGTGCCCAAAAAACAAAATTGTCCCATCATAGCAGGACAATGTAAATATATATTACTATATAGAGAGATGTGTATCTCCAATGTAATTCACTTTACCTTTACATCAAGCGTTCCTCGGCAGACCAGGATATAACCCCCAATTTGCTTGAGCTGATCGGCAGCACTGGAACTGCACTGAATTTTTAAGGCTAATGGACAAAAGAAAAAAAAATGTAATGTTCAAAACTAAAATGAGAAGATCTTGTCACACTTATTACAAGAAAATATATTTGTAGTTCAATGAAGATTGGTATTTCACTTTGGGGCTAATGCCAGAGACGTACATCACTAATCATCTTCTTACATATGCATCTTAGGGAATCCAGTTCCCAGATCTTCCCACTTGCCATAGTCAATATAAAGCTGACCATACACTGTTAGTTTTTTTTCTTATTTAGTATGAGAAAAACGTTTACTAACATCATGGATAGGGAAATTCACCTCACCGGTCAATTGTATCATAGCAGCAGGTGTGCCCAGTTGACTTAACATTATATATTTTTAAAAGATGTATTTATATTCCTGAAAGTAATTCATAAATAGAGAAAATATACACAAAACGCTGAATATATTATGTTGTTGTGTTCCTACCTTCACTGGTAGATTCCATCCTTGATGCTGTGTTGACCGTATCTCCAAACAAACAGTAACGAGGCATCTTGGAGCCAACCACCCCGGCCACTACAGGACCTTCAAAGGAGAGGCAGAGATGTGAAAATATTTACAGCACATGCTGAGTCTTATGGTCCAGTTATTAGAAGGGATCTATACCCAAAATATTATGCATAAGTTTGGAGTGCTGGAGCATGCATGTCTATGCATGTCTATGTTTATGGAAGGGGGAAGAAGGTGGAAGGTGGATAGTGAGATGTGATATTGGCATATCTCGAGGGTGAAATAGCAAATCATTTAAATCTTGGAACTGATGGCTCTTCCCCCCTTGAGAACTGCCACATTTACAGTGCCCATAGCCCTGAGATGTCTCTGGATCTGGTCCAAACTATCTCATATTTATGGTCAGCTTTAAAGCCCAACTCCAGTTTATAATAAAATGTAAGCAATCCATTACCCATGATTTTTAAAGATAATAAAGTAGTTCTGGCTGCAATAACATCTCCTCCACCGCTGATGGTCATCTCTGGGTTGAATGACACTCAGTGCCAAACAACCAATTTCCTGTGAGCCCAGTGTGTCAAGGACCGGCCTCCTGGGGGTACATTATCAAGCCACCATGTGCACACAGGAGAATTCTGCAGAAAGTGCTACCACCTCATTATAGGTTGCTGGTCTCTAAGGTATTCAAGACCAGCCCACCACTTAAGGTAAAGATAAAAATTGCTATTGCACCTGCCCACTGCTGCTGTCAATCAGCAGAGGAGGACCCGATGGAGAAGTTCAGGTCCAGCTCTGCTGATTGACAGAAGCAGGGGGCGGGTGCAATAGCCAGCCGGAGGCCGCTGTCAAAATGAATGAAGCAAACAGCAGCGGAAACGCTGGGGGGAGGAGAACCACAAGGCAGCAAGAAAGTATAAAAATACATAACTTCTTTCCCTCCTGCTGCCTGCACGAAGTTCTTGTGTTTTAAAAAAGTTCTGCTTTACTTATGCTGCGATGTTTTTTTTGGATAAGGAAACTTAAAATGTAATTACAGTTATAAACTGGATTTGAGCTTTAAGGTAAACGGACTAGACTTTCTGACTTTAGTGCAGTGGAGGTGCTTGCTGCATAGCATTAGTAGCCCACAGATTAACTTTACTTGTTACCTGGACCTGCTTTATAAATTCCCAATGCAAATTAAATGCTTCGGACACAGAATCCAAACATGTACAGTATGTGGTCCTATAATTGGACAGCCAAATGAACTGTCATAGGTGCAGACACCTTCAGGTCCCAAAGGCTGGATGATGTGAACCTGTGCATGGCTTTTCTATACTTATTAAATTCATCAGTCCCCCCTGTCTACCCCAGACAATGTAGATGCTCCCCATTAATGGCAGGAATTATGTCTTCCATTACTACAAACAGAGTGTTGATGAGACTGCAATAGACTTTGCCTTGAAGTCACTGGTCTATCCTCAGTGGAGAAAAATGAACCTCCCGAATTTACCACAAAGCAGAGCAGACAAGACATTGAACTGCTTTACTGCAGCCCACCTGAATGTACTCCAGCTCTGATCTTCAACTTAGCGTCTGGTATATGAGGGATCTTGAATGAGTGGCAAACAGTGACGAGATCCAAAGCCATACTTGCAATCTCTGACACATGCATCACACCGTTTTCCTTTGGGACACCAGATACCACCATATCTGCAAGACATTTAGGTTAACTCGTGAAAAAGGTGCATGTCCTCCTCTGATAAAAGTCTTCTTGTTGCTATCTGCTGTGTAAAATGAGGAGCCAACATACTGAAACTGTCTGAAGAAACAGCTTGAAGCAAAAAAAAACAAAAAACAGCTTGAAACCAAAAAAACAGTGAAGCAGGGCTGAAAGAGGGAGGGTCAGCATTAGAGAACAGTTAGGTTCTGCTGACAGGGAACAGGGTAACATGAGTAGATGGCTTATCAAAATTCTGCTGTTCCTTCATTGTGCAATTAGGGAGCCGCGGGTGGGCAGGTGACACCACTAGATTCTTTAAAGTCTATCTAAAGCCAAAACTTTTTTTCATTTTGGACAGAGTAGATGTCGGCTTTCTTTGGCCTAGGGTAAAATCCCCCTTCACTTCCTGCCCTATAGAACAGACAACTAAAGGAAATTTCTCCAAAGTGAGGGGAATTGAGTAAGGAAAATTACCTTTTAGATAGGAATGACCTTAGGTTCAGTCCAAATCTGAGCGCCTCCGAGCCTTGAAGAAAGCTCAATCAGAAGCAGCCGGGGAATTTCTGACCCACAGCTGCATGTAAATTCTGGTTGTATTCATAGTTATATGGCCACATGGTTATATTTGGTCAAATACATTGACCATGTGGCCATAATAGGTCAATGATGGCAGCACAAGCATCCGCCCATTTATTTATGTGCAGAGCAGGGAATGCCCGGCCCACAGCTGATTAGGCAGGTGACTCCATGTCCCGTAGGGGTTTGGACTGGGAGGAGCAGAGTTGGTTTGGTCCAAACCTTAGTTCATCCCTACTCTTAGGCATTTGTTACTCTAACAAGTATCCCCATTGTACAATTCCCCCTCTATTACTAGTCTGGCGAAACTCAGAATATGGGATTTTCCCCATATTTTCAATCTTGGTGCCAATGATCACAAGGACATTTCTATCCAAAACAAAAAACAAAATTGGCTTAAGATAGACTTTACATCTAATATAGAAAGTGGTGCCTGTTTGCCTCCTGTTTCTGTGCACTTTCTTTGCCGAAGACAATGGTCACCAGTAATGGAAAATACTCCCAGTGGAGAGCAATAAAAAGATGATGGGTTCTAATACCCTACCCATGTTCTATTAAAAACCAAGACCAAGATAAATATACTTTTCAGTTATCATAACTAAGTAACAAAGAGGTGACATACATGCATCTCCGATAGTTTCCACCTTGTACACATCATAATTGTCAATAATGTCGTCAAACTGGGTGTACAGCTTGTTGAGGAAGTTGACCACTTGGTGAGGTGTGCTGGCCCCAGACAGTGACGTGAAGCCCACAATGTCACTAAACAAGAGAGAGAAAATGATGTGAATGAACTGGAATGGTAATTATAGTGGTCCTAAACACAAAAAGTGAAGATTGGGTATCAGATTCCTCCTGTAAGGAATAGCAGAAAACTATGTGAGGATGCCCTGGTACTCTTGTGCCTTTAGCCTCATAGCTGTTTATCTGCCGTGTGAGACCATCCAAGGAGCTGCTGTCTCTGACTATTCTCACCAGATCTGGTGTGAGAGTAGGTGATGTCACTACTGTGCTGCTTGCTGGAGAGAAATCTACATTGCATGCATCTCCCTGATTCTGCTTCATTCATTTTGTGTTTATCTGTGCTTTGTGAACCATTCCTGCTGCTTCCTGAATATTCCCCCACCAGTTTTCATCTCATCAGTCATCAAGACAGCTCTGACATGAGGAAACAAAGCTCTGCCACTACCAAGATGGAGGCAGCTTCCAGAGTTCAGGTCCTTTGTATGCAATTTACAGATGGTGTCCATGGCGGTTACATTTATGGCCCCTGTCCTCTGAATCTGTAGAAGTGAAATTTATGCTGCAAGAGCACCATACCACAAAAGAACAGACACGAGCAAGCACGCATGCTACAACCACAGACATGCATGGAACCTGCCTGAAATAAACAGTTGCATTAGCATAGCTCTGAGCTTCACATGTGAGACCTTGGCGGAGATCATCAGCGACCGGCTTCGGCAGCATACCTGGTAATGTGTGGAAAGTTGAGAGGCACTGTTAGAAAACTCATTTTAGTGAAAAAGCTTCACAAATGAACCCCTTGATACTGTTATAGGTATATTGATTCTTGGTGGTCAGATTCTGGCTGCAAGGTTGTATGCAATCCACTGCAGCCAGAATTCAGAAAGCACGTCATTGGGTCACAGGAAATGCACATCCTGTAGCCTGTGTTGCGTAACTTAAAGCAGAACTGGTCTTGCAGCTGCCCCCGTACTGCAAAGGTTAAGTGTTTGTTTTTGTCTAGGTGCTAAAATAAAAAAGTTATACTCACCCAAACTGCAGATCTGGCTGGCTACTACTCCAGTCCCCTAAGCCTGTCTCTTCCTCTGCTGCAGTGAGATATATCCCTCAGCATCCTCATGTCCTATACAATGTGTATAGGACGTGATAACTCATGGACCTTAGACCACTGCAGCGGAGGGGGAGAGAGCCTCCAGGGACAGGTCTAAGAGCAAGCAGGCTCAGAGGATCAAGTGAGTATAACATTTTTTAGCACCTAAACAAAAACGAGCACTTAACCCTTGGAGTGCAGGAGTAGCAGTGCAGGAATAGCCCCACTGCAAGAGTTAAGAACAGTTTAGTCCAGAGTTCTTCTTTAAGCTGGTCATACACTGGTAGATTTTCATATAAAAAATGTAATGAGAACATTCAATAACACCAACAAAGATTTGACGAATGTCATTCAAAACTTCATTTGGTTTTACATTCAGGACTTTCTTTAATGGAAACTGCATTCACTGTTAGAAATTTGTTTGCTCGAGTAAAATATTACATCCTGCGCCTTCAATTTTTTTCAGCACTATAGTATTATTAGTAGTATTATTAGTAATATTATTAATTTGACCCCATTAACTATTAGAGAATTGAACAAGCGCTCTGAAAACTAGTTTTTCAAATTAAGTTTTACTGGTGTACAGTCAGTTTTCCTTTCTCTGTCAGCCCCTTTCACATGAGCGGTCTGATCAGATGACCAATGTTAGTCTATGGGCAGTCATGTGTAAACGGATGGGGGTTACCCCCACCAGGTCTGGGAAAACAAATGGATCCGTGATCCGTTTCGCCCGACCTGATCATGCCGGATTGGGGTAATCTGATATAAACAGGCACAAGTCCGTTTGCATCTGATTCCCTATAGACTGACAAGGGGTGCGACCATTTCAGTTTTCCTTCATCGCAAGATGGAGGAAAAAACTGGATGGACACGGATGTCAGGATGTCACAGCAGTGATATCCGCTCCATTCTGTTCAGATCAGGAGGGGATCCGTGCATGGATCCCCTCCTGATCAGCCCGTGTGAAGGGTGTCTTCTGCATCAAAGACAGATCTGAATCTAAACGGTGGCTGTAAGAAAGTTATTGTACATGCTTGCCTTCTTTTTACATCAGGCCTTCAATATGTGAGAGCGAGCAAAGAGCTGGCAGTGGGTGCGTCTAAGGAAGGTGCACATAATTCCCAAGCAATTCTTAAATCACCAGATTTCCGACAAGAAAGATTGGTTTGGGATGGACTGATGCACTAAAATAATATCCCAAAAAACAAACAACAGGAAGACTATGGTCCCTGGATCCATCTCATGGTTACTTAGTTAGTCAGGCCATCAAGTGGAAATTAAAAATGGCCTTTGTATAAACAGACCTTGAGAATACTTTGCACTATATAAGAATCTGAGAAACAATTACAAAGTACAAAAAGCAGACACAGAGATGTAGGAGCCCACAAATAGCTATGTTTGAATGCAAAAATGCTACATTGACATCCATGTGTGAGGAAGATGCTTGCTTATAGAATGCTGGATTATCTATATTCAGCGTGTCATTCTAAGAGATAGGCCAGGCCATTCACTCACAAAACTGAATTCAGAATCTCAAGTGAGGTATTTTCACCGTGTCCTTGGCAACCTGAATGGGAACATCTGCTTCTTTGTGCAATGCAATACAGCCAGAGTCAATTAGCCCTCAGGAAATTACACACCATTTCAGTTTATGTTGTTGTTGCCAATACAGAGCCTTGTGAAAGGGCAAATGTACCTCAAGCTCATGATATGTACAGTATAATAACTGTGAAAATACACATGCATGTAACTGTTTCAAGAACACAGAAAAGTTATAGGGTTGTAAAGTTACAGCCCCTTCTGCCAAAAATCTGTAAAATGTCTAGAATGTGCAAGAACTACATCAGTCATCATCAGTGGCCCTCCAATGGCCATAGAACAGCAACAGGAACCTGGAAGGAGAAGCAGACCAGAAACTGCAGAACCTAGAACTGACAGCACTGAATGAGGCACTCTAGTATGTAAATCTGCCATAAAGTGTGCTGTTAATGTGCCATTAAAGGAGAACTATGGGGTTAAGGCTTTTCCCCATAGTTCTCCTTAGGGTAACGGGAGGACACAAACTAGCGTCCTCCTGTCACCCTAGGCTCAGTATACCGCGAGCTGTAGCTCACGGTATACTGAGACACCGCAGTATACTGCGAGCTGCTGCTCGCGATATACTAAGACGCCGCAGCTGAAGTGGATCCCGACAATTATGTCTGGATCCGCCCAGCTGCGTGACTGACAGCTGGCTCTGCCTATCTAGAGGCAGAGCCAGCTGTAACTGCCCCCTCCCCCGTCCGTTCCGCCAGTCAGCGATGGCGGAGCGGGGAGGTGGGAATCCAGCCCCTCCCCTGTCACGGCAAAGAGCAGTGAAAGGATCGAGAGGTGAGCGAACGCCGGTATATGTTCGCTCACCTCCCGATCTACTGAGCCGACCTGTGACAGTCTCATTGTCACAGGTCGGCTAGAACTATGAGGTGAGTGAAAAGCACTAGCCTGATAATTCTCCTTTAAGAATAACAATTGTTTTTAGATCTGAACCTTATGTGATTAAAATTTTTGGTTTCCTTTTATACAGTATATAGTCATTCCTAATATCGCTGCTCTACACTAAATCCATGAGGGATATTAGGCATTGCATTTTTAGCTCCAAATGTACAAACTTAAATTTAGTGTTACATAGTCTAAAACAGTACTCTTTCCCAAGTTTTACCAATTTCCTTATTGTTCGGTTCCTATAAAACACCAATAGTGCATTGTAAGCTTCTTATCTTAGATTGTAAGCTCTTTAAGGGCATGTGAATGTGCAATGTAAAGAGCTGTGTAAATTGTCGGCACGATATATAAACCTGTAATAATAAAATAGTACTGTAGCATCCATGGTTCTGCCGTAACATGATTCCTTAAAGTGACATTAAAGTCACATTCCCCGCCCAATGCTGCTTTAAGGACTTACCTTAAATGATGCCTCTTGATCCGATCATCTTCTTCTTTCCAGTAGTTTTCAGGAGTCCCTCCAGCGCTGGTGACGGTCTCTGATCCAGCGCTGACTGCTGTGTCTACCTGTCCCATGTTGTCTGTGCTGGTGCACGCTGCCGGGTTGCGTGCATTGACTTACCATGTGTCTCCTTTTCTCCCAGCCGAAGATCTCTAATGAGCATTAGACATGTGCGATTCGTTTCGTTCCAAATCGAAATTCGGACGAATTTTCGGAAATTCGGATGTATCCGAATTCCGAATTACAGACATAACGAATGCAAACGAATCCGAATTTCCATTTCCGAAATTCGGTAGCGTTAGTACGAACGTTCGTTTCGTTTTCTGTTCTTATTCGTTTCTTATTCGTTTCGTTCGTTGGAGCAAAGTGACATTAGAGGAGAAAAATAGTTTTCCCCCTCAAATGTCACTTTTGCTGCAAACGAACGAACGAAACTAATAAGAAACGAATTAGAAACGAATAAGAACAGAAAACGAAACAAACGTTTGTACTAACGCTACCGAATTTCGTCCGAATCCGAATTCCGAATCCGAATTGACTTTCACACCCGAATCTCGAAAAACTAAATAACACAAATCCGAATTTGAAACAAAACAAAACAAATTTTTTGGCAGTGCACATGTCTACTGAGCATGCGCCAGCCCCATGATTCTTCAGATCTTCGGACGGGAGTGAACGGCGCAGACACAGGTAACTATTTCTAGCAGTAGATATATGCAAAAAAAGGTTTAATTATACTTTAAGTTATCTAAAGGAGAACTCCAAGCAAAGAAAAAAAACTTGCCCTTGCACTGTGGCTATCACCATACTGCAAGGGTTAAGTGCTTGTTTTATCTGGGGACTCTAGTGGTTTTACTTACCTGATCCCCACACCGGGGACAGTCAACACTCACCTCTCTCTATTTGCTCTGGCTATAGAATATCCTTTGGCGTCCTCACATCTAATGCAGGTCAATAGACCTTAGACCACCAGTATTTTCGGACATTCGGATGTATCCGAATTCCGAATTACAGACATAACGAATGCAAACGAATCCGAATTTCCATTTCCGAAATTCGGTAGCGTTAGTACGAACGTTCGTTTCGTTTTCTGTTCTTATTCGTTTCTTATTCGTTTCGTTCGTTGGAGCAAAGTGACATTAGAGGAGAAAAATAGTTTTCCCCCTCAAATGTCACTTTTGCTGCAAACGAACGAACGAAACTAATAAGAAACGAATTAGAAACGAATAAGAACAGAAAACGAAACAAACGTTTGTACTAACGCTACCGAATTTCGTCCGAATCCGAATTCCGAATCCGAATTGACTTTCACACCCGAATCTCGAAAAACTAAATAACACAAATCCGAATTTGAAACAAAACAAAACAAATTTTTTGGCAGTGCACATGTCTACTGAGCATGCGCCAGCCCCATGATTCTTCAGATCTTCGGACGGGAGTGAACGGCGCAGACACAGGTAACTATTTCTAGCAGTAGATATATGCAAAAAAAGGTTTAATTATACTTTAAGTTATCTAAAGGAGAACTCCAAGCAAAGAAAAAAAACTTGCCCTTGCACTGTGGCTATCACCATACTGCAAGGGTTAAGTGCTTGTTTTATCTGGGGACTCTAGTGGTTTTACTTACCTGATCCCCACACCGGGGACAGTCAACACTCACCTCTCTCTATTTGCTCTGGCTATAGAATATCCTTTGGCGTCCTCACATCTAATGCAGGTCAATAGACCTTAGACCACCAGAACGAGGAGGAGAAAAGGCTGCAGGGACCAGGCTAGCAGCATGGAAAGAGCCAGAGGATCAAGTAAGCAAAACAGATTTTTTTTGAGCTCCTTAGACAAAAACAGCACTTAACCCTTGCAGCCTGGCAACAGCCCCACTGCAAGGGTAAGATATTTCTTTGCCCAGAGTTCTTCTTTAACCTCTGGCCATCTGCCCGTTAAGAAAAAACGGACGGACAGCTGACTCCTATCTGCGGGTTGCCGTCGCCAGACGGCAGTGTACCGCAGCGCTGAATACTGAAAAATGGCCTGGATGGGAAGGGGGTTTAACACCGCGGATGTCAACTGGTTAAACAACCATTGAATGGACCATTCTCATTGTATTATGATGCCCCCTAGTGGTGTTTTTGTGTATGCAGAATTCTGCTCAATGTCTAGTTGATATACTTACTGTATAGAAGACGGTCCGTTTTTTGTTTCTCTTGTAAAAGATCCTGTGTCCTCTCAGCTACAATGGCTTCTAAGTGTTTGCTGTACTTCTCCATCTACCATTGTAATACAAATAACTGTCAATTAACCATCAACAACCATAACCCAACAAAAATCCTATTTAAAAGGGACCCAGATAATTTAGCTAGGTAGAAATCAAACCCTTCCTTACTCCATGAATAAAAACAGTGTATCTAAAGCCCAGTTATTTTTAGTTTTGTATGGAATAGGGAAGCGTTTAATCCCCATCAGGGTTTTTTTTTGCTGTCCCCGCTGGGAAGATTAACCATCCCCATTTGCTTTAGTGAAGGAAAAACAAAAATTGTGAGTTGTCACCAGACTAGGAAATTAGGACAATTCCTCCAATAGGGACACTGTCTAACAGGCGATTTAACTCACTTTCCTCTCACTTCCTGTTGTGTCTACAGGACAATAAATGAAGGGAAATATAATTGGGATACAGATGGCAAAAAAAATGGGTTTTAACCATTCACCACTCTTTCCAAAAAGAAAAAAGTTTTGGTTTATCTATAATTGAAAACAATAAAAATAGGAAGAGTTAAAGAGATGTAAACAAGAAACTAAACACTAAGAAGTGTGAAACACGTCTTGAAATAAATAAGCTTTTAATTTGTCCAACCTGCTCTGTTTTGGAGGATTTCTGACTGCTATATTTATTTTGTACATATCTAGATAAAGCTTATCTAAAGCCATTTTTTTTTATTTCATAGATTAGGAAATGTTTAATTCAGTGTTTTTACCAGCAATAAAGTTTCCTTTTTGTTTTGGATCCATCACTCTCTAAATCACCTCTTATATTGGAACAGGCTTCCCCCATTTGAAGGCTTTACCTGACAACTCTAACATTTTGGATTTCCTGCAATAGATATACTTTAATTTTGTAAAGTTTGCTTACCAAATTCATCATCATATCCACAGGGCTGACGCGGTGAGGATTCATTTTATCTAAACTTTTCTTAATTTGCTCAAACGAAGGTCTCATCATAGCATTGTGTGCCCAGCATCTCTTTATCAGCTTCAGAAAAGAGAAGAAGAATAGGATTAAAGTGGCACTATTAGGCCGGTCTGAACAAGGTCCAAAACAGCTTTGTAGAAACTTATGACCACTCTGAACCTTGTGCATTCTGTTCTTATCAAAGGGGCAGATGCATGTTTTTAATTCTAACCCTGATTCCCCAGGAACCCTCCATGCTTGCTCCAGGAGGGGCAGAGAAGACCTCAAGATAAGGTCTGAAGGCAAGTATTTTACTATGTGGATTACCCTAGAACAGTGGTGGCGAACCTTGGCACTCCAGCTGTGCCAAAACTACAAATCCCAACATGCATCTGCCTCTGGGAGTTATGTCTGTGGCTGTCAGAGCCTTGCAATGCCTCATGGGACTTGTAGTTCCAAAACAGCTGGAGTGCCAAGGTTCGCCACCACTGCCCTAGAGGCTATAAAAAACAGAAATTGAAGTTGGCCTTTAAGGGCCAAGTTTGTGTGGAAAGGTTGGGTCTTAAAGGTTGGTGTTGTGGTTGGACTCAGCTTTGGGATTAGGCTGAGGTTGAAGAAAACCTAAACTAAAATAAACCTAAACTGGCACTGGCACCTATTGGCAGCAACCCTTAGGTGGGGGCACGTTAGTTCTCCTATACAGTGTCTGGAGTGGCCTAAATCCCCAGGAACTCTGTTAGACACGTATAGCACATTTTTCCTGATTAAGAGCCAACAGCTAATTCCTCCAGCTCCTATGCTTCACTGATAGTCAGCAAGTGACCCGTCACATATCTGGGCCAATGTTGAGACTAAGAAAGCTGGAACAGAAGAGGTCAAGTAGCTCTGCATTTGCTGGGGCTTGGGGACACCCTGGACACTGAGTAAGAGAACTGATCTGGTGTGCAGTCCCTTGGAGTTGCCTGCTATGTGCTCCTAGTAGCAGTTTGATTTAGGTTGGGTGTGCCGCTGTCAAAATTCCCAAACAGTGACTGCAGCTCAATGGCTACAGTTAAGATATTTCAGACTGGCTCCTTCGTCAATAGGAAAAAAGGGGGGTCCCTACGAGGTCACCCATTGGTCGAATTTCAGCCAAGTCAGCAAGATTGCAGAGTAATTGTATGGCCAGTTTCAATGTAGTTTTCAGTTCTTTCACATACGTCTACTTCTCGTTTACTGATCCTCTAAACATCCAGCATCCATTGAGTACATAAGTAAATCCTCTCTCGTAATGTTTATTGATGCAGATAACAGTATGGATAGTCTGACTGTGTAGTGATCTGTTTATATAAATCTTAATGCCCAGCATTATAAATATTACTCTTATTGCACGTTGGGTCTGATGTATTCTGTGAAAGGTCATTGACAGCATGTATATGGCAGATAAACACTTGTCATCACAGTTTCTGTTACCATTATCTCGGTAGATGTTGGATCTGCCTTTTATAACTTCAACAACATCTGCTTGTGAAATAGTCGCTATCGTGACTTTTTGTTGGGGGGGTGCACTTTATATTATTAACGTTCATAGAAATAAACAGAAAAGTAGGGAAGCCCACACCGACACACATATATTTTGTATATTCAGACATTTTCTTCACCAGATCCTAGTAAATAAATGTTTAGTGAGTCATTCCACAGAAAGATTACTGCAGTTTATAATATACTCCATGTAATACTATTGAGATTTAAACATGCCATGCAAGGACATCTGGGGATTTCCATTGATATTGAGTCATCTGGGTGTTTGAAATGTCATTATGGCGCCTTAGGGAGGAAGAAGTCAGGTCCCTTATGGAGGTGACCAGAGCACCCACATCCTATGTCATGCCAGACTATGAGTTATGGGTAATCAGTTGCTGCAGTGCTGATAATTAAAGCCAAACTACGGGCTCAGCCCCCCAGTGCTGCCGTTCTCCCCCCGAAAGGTATCAGAAGAAATGTATTTTTGCGGTTTTTTGGGGATATCCTCTGGCCGGTCACATTACAGGACAGTCCTCGGCGATGCACAGAGAGCCACTGATGATACATCATTATTATGAGTACAGGGCACTGTGGTGATGGCCCTCAGGGGGCACGTCCATGATGCCCTGCTCTCACAGGATGCCCTCAGTCTTCCTGAATGAAGGATGCTGAATCCTGTAGTGCCATAGGGGTAAAGGAGTTCACATGGGTGGCAACCTCCACCACCCTCTGAAAAGTGATGCACGGTGGATTGCCTTTCAGAGGGCGGTGGAGCAGTGGCTGCCTCCTGAATTCAGGTTATTTTTAATTCCAATAGGGATTTTCTATTTCAATATTCCGAATGCAACCTGTGCACCCACAAAGTTGCAGGGTGGTCCTATTCATTGCAATGGTTGTGTTTGACAAGCAGAACCACCTGCCAAATGCAGCATGCTGTATATTTTTGCTGTGCCACCCTTCAAAGCATTGTGGCCGCGGCACTGCATACAGTACTCTACGGCCTCAGTAAAACCGCAGATCAGCCGCCTGGTTTTATCGCCCCCTCCTTGCCGCCTGAGTGCACGAAACCTAACACTGGAGGCAGCACCGAGAGTGCACATACCTTCACCTTGCGTAGTAATGCTCTACAATAAAAAAGGGGG